GAACTGGAAACCTTGTTGTTAGGAGCACGTGCTCTCACCAGCTGAGCCATCCTGCCACCTGTTGGCAGCTCAGCGGCAGCTCAGCTTGGGTGCAGCTCGCTGGCCCATGTGGACTCCAACTGGCGACCCTGTAGCTCAGAGCTTGCCCTGTTTACCAACTGAGCCACTCGGCCAGCCCTAATTTTTTAGTTTTGACAAGTACTTTGTGGTTATATAGGATATTAACATTAGAGGAAGCAGAGTAAAGGGGATGCAGGAACTCTGTTCTATCTTTTCAATTCTTTTATAAATCTTATATTCAGAACAAAAAGTTTTGAAAAAGTCCTAATACATCCTTCATGTCCTCCCTTTAGGCATCACAAAATAAATTTGTGTGTGTGGGTGGGTGTATGTGTGTGTGTGTGTTTTAAGGTGAACTGAAAAGGTGGGGTTTAGTTTTAAAGAATATTTAATATGCGTGATGCTGAACAGTAAGATACTGGGCAAAATTTTGTTAGATTCTTAGCCAGCTCAGTCTGAGTTAAGGCTTGCCAGAGTTTTAAGGAGGACAAATAGCAAAAGTCACACTATTTCTTCATTAGAAATGATGGACTCTCTTAGACAGTAAAGTTAAATGTATTTGTAGCAGTATATGTTAGATGATGTTTTTAGGTATTTCAAATAGAATGAAAAAAAATTTTTTAGTAAAGCTCTAGGCTTTGGGTTTAAATTATTTATTTTCTTTCCCCAGATATAAAGACCTGATGCCACATGATTTGGCTAGAGCAGCACTTTCGTAAGTAAATGGCTTCATTAAAAGCACTTTTCTCCAGTTTTCACACTTGAAATAGAAAGTTTAATAGAATTTCCATATCGAGTATATATTTATATTAATTTTTATGTGGTAAGAAAGCACTTATTAGCTTTTACAAGATTCGTTTATTCTTGATTTTAGCCAGGTGTGGTACACAGATTCAAGCTGGTGGATGTAAGGCATTATCTCATTCATTTTCCATTGATGCTTTGCCTTTGTGTCTTCAACCAGCCATAGGTCTTTCCTAGTTTGAAAAATCCCTTCAGTTGACCTTTCTGCCTATCTGTTCTATTTCTTCTCTTCCTGCCAGACTTGAAGAATGAATGCAGCAGTTGCTTCTCTTTTCTTACTATTCCATTTATTCTCCTTAATCTCATAATAA